GCTGATGCTGCTTATGACGATGATGCTGATGATGATGCTGATGCTGCTGCTGATGATGATGATGACGATGGAACTGATGATCATGATGATGCTGATGAGGATGACGATGATGATGCTTCTGCTGATGCTGATGATTCTGCTGATGCTGATGCTGATGCTGCTGATGATGATGACGATGGAGATGATGATGCTGATGATGATGATGTTGGTGGTGATGGTGATTGTGATGGTGATGATGATGTTGATGATGATGATGATGGTGATGATGATGATGGTGATGACGATGACGTTGATGATGATGATGATGATGCTGATGATGATGATGAAAATGATGATGATGGTGATGATGATGATGATGATGATGCTGATGATGATGATGATGATGATGATGATGATACTGATGATGATGATACTGATGCTGATGCTGATGCTGATGCTGATGCTGATGCTAATGATGATTGTTATGCTGGTGCTCATGCTGTTGCTGCTGCTGTTGATGATGATGATGATGATGATGATGATGATAATGATGATGATGATGATGATGATGATGATGATGATGATGATGATGATGATGATGATGATGATGATGATGATGATGATGATGATGATGATGATGATGATGATGATGATGATGATGATGATGATGATGATGATGATGATGATGATGATGATGATGATGATGATGATGATGATGATGATGATGATGATGATGATGCTGATGATGATGATGATGATGATGATGATGATGATGATGATGATGATACTGATGATTGCTGATGATGCTGATGATGCTGATGATGATGATGATGATGATGATGATGATGAGGAGGAGGAGGAGGAGGAGGAGGAGGAGGAGGAGGAGGAGGAGCAGGATGACGATGATGATGCTGATGTCCTCGATGATGGTGTTGATGACCGCGATGATGGCGACGGTGGTGATGATTATGGTGATGATGATGGTAGCGTGGTCACATATCACCTCCAGGGCAATGAAGGCCGTCGCGGCATTAGTCCCGCGGCCAGCGCACCCGCAGAGGGCCTGCCGCTCCGGCGGGTGTGCCTCCTCCAGGGTACCGTGACTCGCCCCGCTCGTCGCTTTGGGGCGCGTCATCCGAGGCCTTCACTTGCGGCCGATGCCTGCGAATCCAGCTGCCCTTGAAGGTACCATGCGGGCTGCTCTTGGGCGGCCCCAGAGCGACGCTTGCCTACGATGCCGCGCGCAAGGCCGTGCAAGACAGTTACGTGGCGCTGCCGATCGTCTGCGATTCCACCTGCCTTGCGAGGTGCTGTTGTACAAGGACACGGGCTGCTACTCCGCGGCCCTTGCCCCGGAGCAGCCGACGCGGGTAGCGGCGCTCTCTAGCGACGCCGAGCGCACGGCCGTGCCAGGCATGCACCAGCACGGCGCTGCCGATCGTCTGCGACTCCATCTGCTCCAGGGGACGCTGCCTCGAGGACGGCCCGTGCAGGTGCAACGGCACGGGTTGCTACTTCTCGGCCTTGCCCTGGTGCGGCTGATGGGGATGACGGCGCTCTCCTGCGACGCCTTGCGCAAGGCTGTGCTGGCCATCGGCAAGGCGCTGCCGACCGTTTGCGACTGCACCTGCCCTGGGAAGCGCTGCCTGGAGGAAGGCCCATGCAGGTACAATGACACGGGCCGCTAGTTTCTCTGCCGTGGCCCTGGCGCAGCAGATGGGGATGGCGCATCTCTCCAGCGAAGCCTGGCGCAAGGCCGTGCCGTGGGGTGCATCAGCGCGGCGCTGCCGATCGTCTGTGACTCTATCTGCCTTGGGCTGTGCCCCCTCGAGGACGGTCCGTACATGCGCAAGGACGCGGTTTGGGGATGGCGGCGGTCTCCTGCGACGCCGAGCGCAAAGCCGTGCCGGGTATCGGCGTGGCGCGGCCGATCGTCTGCGGATCCATTTGGGATCAGGTGTAGCGACGCGGGCTTCTAGTCCGCGCGCCTGGCCTTGGCGCAGCTGATTGGGGTGACGGCGCTCTCCGGCGACGCCGAGCGCGCGGCCGTGCCGGGCATTGGCACGGCGCTGCCGATTGTCTGCGACTCCGCTTGCCCCTGGAGGTGCTGCTTCGAGGACGGCCCGAGCAGGTGCAGCGAGGTGGCTTGCTACTCCGCGGCCCCGACCCTGGCGCGGCCGACGGGGATGACGGCGCTCTCGCGACGCCGAGCGCGCGGGTGAGCCAGGCATCGGCGAGGCGCTGCCGATCGTCTGCGCATCCATCTGCCTCGGGCTGTGCCCCCTTGAGCCTTGAGGACGGCCAGTGCAGGTGCCGCGCCGCGGGCTGCTCCTTCGCGGCCCTGCCCCCCGCGCAGCCGACGGGGGATGACGGCGCTCTCCACTGCTGTCCAGCGCAGGGCCGTGCCGAGCATCAGCACGGCGCCACCGACCGCCTGCGACGGAACCTGTCCCGGGGGGCTCTGCCTCGAGGACGGCCCGCGCAGGTGCAGTGCCGCGGGCTGCTCTTCCGCGTGCCTGGCCCTTGATGGCGGCGCGCAGGTGCAACGGCCGGGTTTGCCGCTCCGCGGCCCTGGCCCTGGCGCAGATGACTGGGGTGGCGGCGCTCTCTAGCGACGCCGAGCGCACGTTGCGCCAGCCATCGGCGATGCCGATCATCTGCGGCTCCAGGCAGTGACGTGGCGCAAGGCCGTGCCAGGCAGTGACAGGGCGCTGCCGATCATCTGTGACTCCATCTGCTCCGGGAGGTGCTGCTTCGAGGGCGGCCCGTGCAGGTGCAGCGACGCGGGCTGCCACTCCGCGGCCTCGGCCCCTGATGGCGCTGCCGATGGAGGTGGCGGCGCCCTCCAGCGAAGCCGAAGACAGTGCCGTGCCAGGCATCGGCGCGGCGCTGCGGACTTCGACTCGATCCGCTCCGGGGGGCGCTGCCTCGGGGACGGCCCTTGCAGGTGCAGCGCCGCGGGCCGCTACCCGCCCGCGCAGGTGCAACGACGCGGACCGCCACTCCGCGGCGCTGGCCCTGGCGCGGCAGCTCATGGGGGCGGCGCATGCCCACGACGCCGAGCGCAAGACGACGTCGCTGTCCGGCTCCGACCATCAGCGCGCCGCCGCCTATCGTCTGCGTGTCCATTTGCCCTGGGATGGGCTTCTTCGAAGGCCGCCAGTGCGGGTGCGTCTGCGCGGGCTGCTGCTCCGCGACCCTGGCGCAGGAGACGATGCGTGCGACGCTCAGCGTTGTTGCTGCGCGCGTGGGCGCGCCGGGCGTCGACGCGGCGCTGCCGACCGTTCGCGGTTCCAGCTGCCCTGGAGCGCGCTGTTGCGAGGGCGCTCGTGCAGTCGCATCAACGCGGGCTGCTGCTCTGGCGCTAGCGCCGCAGATGGGGTAGTTCTCGCTGCCGAGGTCGGGCTCAAGGCCCCGCAGGGCTTCTACGCGGCGCTGCCCGTCGTTTGCGTCAGCAGCTGCCCTGGGACATGCTTCGTAGATTGCCTGCGCAGGCGCAACAGCGCGGGCGGCATGTGGCGCGGTAGGTGACGATGGCGTTGCGCGCCGTCGATGCCCTGAGCAAGGCTGCCTTGGGGTGCTGCTGCGACCACCGCCCCGAAACGGGAGCGCTCGTCTGCGCGGGTCGGACGGACTTGGCGATGGCGCCCCTTGTTGTCGCAGACTGCAGGGTCCGTTCGCCTTGCTTCTTTCGGCCTGGTCACTGTTCCGTCCCAGGGGCTCTCTCCCGGCATCTGCGCTCCAGCCATCGTCTGGTTTCCCTTTCTTCTCATCGCCCACGTCCTTGCAGCATCGACTGCCGGATCTCGTGCTCGAGGTGCCTCGCGGCTCCCTTGCGCCAGCGGGTTGGCCTCGAGCCGCGCGGCGCCCCGCGTGGTTCCGTGCCGCGCGCCGGGCCTTGCTCGTCCCGGACCTGCCCGCGGTGCTCTCGTCGGCCCGCGGCGAGGTGGCACCCCGCAGCAGGGGCCTCGTGTCCTGGCCGCTCGTCGCCGCTGGCGCAGCAGGGTTTGGAGGCCCACGTGCTTCGCCCCCTCGGCGAACGCGGAGGCGGTCTTCCAAGAGTTTCCGGGCTTTCCGCACGCCGTTATCTCTTGAGATTCTCGCGACGCGCTTCGCCGCGCCCCATCCAGTCAAGCACTGACAGCTCAGTTTTCACCTTTCCGCCTGTCTGTCTGGAGTGTAGAAAGTTCAAGAGTTTGGTCACCCTAGCCCGTCCTACATCGTTGTGATTTTCTGCTTTTGCATTGTTTTTAGGCGTCGTTGCACTTCGCCGTTTTTTCCTCTTTGGCTCGTGCATCCTCTTCGTCGATGGTTTGGTGGGTTGGTCTCTCCTCTCCTACTGCCTCCCTCCTTTGGTCCCAAACTTTCGTCTCGCTTCCCGCTGTTCCCGTCGGGCGGATCGCCTGGGACGACCGCCACACAAAACACAGGTGGGTGGCCTGGGCTGTAGCGGAGATTGCAGTGTGATCAGACATCATCTTTACGGAAGTGAAGACTGTCACGGCATCGTCTACTCAAGTGTTTTTTGTCTGTCCCCCCTTCCTCTCCTCCTGGTTTTGCGGTCCTTCCTCGTCGGTTGGTTGGTGCGTTGGTCTCTCCTCTCCTCCTTCCCCATCCTTTTGCCCCAATCGTTCGTCTCGGTGCCCGCTGTGCCCGCTGGGGGAATCGCCTGGATCGACGCCACGCAAAACCGGGTGACCTTGGGTGTAGCGGATATGATGATGACGTTGCTGCTGATGATGATGATGATGATGGTGATTGTGATTGTGATTGATTGTGATGATGACGGTGACGACGATGGCGATGTTGTTGATAATAATGCTGCTGCTGATGATGACGATCACGATGGTGGTGATGGTGATGTGGTGATGACTCAGATGATGAAGGTTATGGTGATCGTGCTGGTGATTGTGACACAGATGAGGATGATGATGATGGTGGTGATGATCGTGAGGATGATGCTGATGATGAGGAGGATGATTCGGAGGAGGCAGAGGCTTCGGAATGTCTCCTCGTGGCAGGGTTACACGGCGGACGTCAGCACCTACAACCACATGATTCGAGCTTGTGCACATCAGGATGTCTTCGTCTTGCCGCAAGAAGGGAGGAACATATGGATAGTGAAGTTGTACAGACGGAGGCGACCCTGAGCGACGGAGAAACTCGCACGGGTCAACTCGCGGGACAGGAACACGCTTTTATCGTATTGGGTTTCGGCCCAGCCCCGCAAAAGCAGGGCACAAGGCAGGATTCTGGATTGCTGGGTAGGAGTGAGTTCGTGAGTTAAAAGACGATTGGGATCTGGAAGTGTTCCTCACATCTATACATTGATTCGCTATGTATTTATGGATCTGTATATTTATGTGTGTGGGTGGTCGATTCCCGCGTAGGTTCTCTTCATGAGGACCCAGTGAGCGCCCCTGAAGTGCGAACGATCCACATGCGCGATCGATTGAGCGAGCGGCCTGTGCTGTCATTTGCTTGCGAGTGCCGCAGGGCAGCTGCGAAGCGGGGGCGGCCTTGGGATGGAGTGCGAAAGCGCGGGCGAGCAACGGGAGTAGGCAGGCAGGCAGTCATGGAACATACTGATGATGTTGCAGATGATGATGCTGATGATGCTGATGCTGATGCTGATGCTGATGCCAATTCTGTTGCTGCTGCTGATGATGACGATCCTTATACTGATGCTGATGAGGATGTTGTTGTCGTTGTTGTTGTTGCTGCTGCTGTTGTTGTTGTTGTTGTTGCTGTTGTCGTTGTTGCTGTTGTTGCTGCTGTTGTTGTCGTTACTGTTGTTGTTGTTTTTGATGATGATGATGGTGATGATGATGCTGATGGTGATGATGATGCAGATGATGATGCTGATGCTGATGCTGATGCTGATGATGATGATGATGCTCATGCTGATGATGATGATGCTGCTGCTGATGATGCTGATGATGCTGCTGCTGCTGATGATGATGATGATGATGATGGTGATGATGGTGATGACGATGCTGATGATTCTGATGATGCTGCTGCTGATGCTGACGCTGATGCTGATGCTGATGCTGCTGATGCTGCTGATGAAGAGGAGGAGAAAGGGGAGGAGGAGAGGGAACAGGCGGAGAAGGAGGAGGAGGAGGACTGCCGTGTCCTGGGATCCCTCGGGTCGTGGCTGACGCGAACCCCACCCACCACCTCTGGCAGAATGAGGGCCCGAACTGTTGCGTACACTGTGGGGCGTATGCGCGTTCTAAGGTCAAGGAGCTCGCCAAGCGGTGTTCCAGTCGTCCTGACACGGATTGGAAGAGCAAGGTCTTGGCACTCCTAAATAAGGGGAGAGGTTCTTTTGGGGCGTGTTTGCATCTGATTTATCTGTTGGGCGGGTGCCTTGTGTGCACGGGACGACCGCGGAAGAGCGCAAGAGCGCAGGAGGAGGAGGAGGAGGCGGAGGAGGAGGAGGAGGAGCGGAGGATGGGAGGAGGAGGAGGATGACGAGGAGGACGGAGGAGGACAGATGAAGAGGAGGAGGAGGAGGAGGAGAGGAGGAGGAGGAGAGAGGAAGGGAGAAGGAGGAGGAGGAGGGGAGGACGGGGAGGCACAGCCGACGCGCCCCCTGGAAGCCCCGGGCGGCGACTATGGGGGCCCTGTTCGTGAAGGGGCTGAGGCCTTCCCTTGAAAATAGGAGCTCCAGCAGCAGTAACAGCAGAAGCAGCAAGAGCACACGCAGCGGGAGGGCTGCTGCTGCTGCTGTTGCTGATGATGCGGATGATGATGCTGATGCTGATGATGATGATGGTGATGATGATGATGCTGCTGCTGATGATGATGGTGATGATGATACTGATGAGGATGCTGATGACGCTGATGATGCTGATGATGCTGATGATGATGCTGATGCTGATGCTGATTTTGAGGATGCTGCTGCTGCTGATGATGCTGCTGCTGCTGCTGATGATGATGATGATGATGATGATCATGCAGTTGAGGTTGACGATGACGATGATGCTGATAATGATGATGCTGGTGATGCTGATGCTGATGATGCTGGTAATGCTGAGAATTATTATCCCAGTGCGACCCTACCTAGGAGTTGGATCATCTAGGACACCACCATCTACATCTACACCGACAGCTACATTAACACCTACACCTGTATATACGCTATGCTATGCAATGCTAGGCTATGCTATGACATGCTATGCTGCGCTATGCTATGCTATGCTGCGCTATGCTATGCTGCGCTATGCTCTGCTATGCTATGCTGAGCTATGCTATGCTCTGCTCTGCTATGCTATGCTCTGCTATGCTGTGGTAATGCGGCGCTGCGCTAAGCTAAGGTAAGCTAAGCTATGCTAAGCTCAGCTAAGCAAAGCTAAGCTAAGCTAGGCTAGTCTAAGCTAAGCTAAGCCAAGCCGAGCTAAGTCAAGCTAAGTTAAGCTACGTTAAACCAAGCCACGCCAAGCTAAGCTAAGCTAAGCTAGACTAAGCTAGGCTAGGCAAGGCTAAGCTAAGCTCAGCTAAGATATGCTAAGCTAAGCTAAGCTAAACTAAGCTTAGCCAAGCTAAGCTGGGTGAACCCATGGGGGCGCAACTGGGGGAACCGCGGGGCGGATACTGGGGGAACCGCCCGGGGCGGGCCCCACTGCCCGGCCTTTTAAGCCACTGAGTAAGAACCCTTCTAGGCAGAGCTGATGATGACGATGATGATGATGAGGATGCTGATTATTGAGGTGATGACGCTGATGCTGATGCTGATGCTGATGATGATGATGATGATGATGATGATGATGAGGAGGTGTAGGAGGGAGGAGGAGGAGGAGGAGGAGGAGGAGGAGGAGGAGGAGAAGGAGGTGGGCGACCAGTGCCAACCCAAGGCGCATCACTAATGTTGCAATACACTATCCCTCCAAGTTTTCTCCCCATAGGGCCCTACAATAAGTTATCGAAGACGCCTACGGCGAATCACCGCCGCCCCCCCTGCCTTTCAGATATGCCTTTGCGGCCGAACTTTGCGGCCAGCGCTCGGCCAAGCTATCGGACTATGGGTTCCCCCACCCGGTGTGGAAACCATTCGGGGAACAATGGGGGAGGCAGAAGAAGAGGAGGAGGAGGGGGAAAAACAGTAAGGAGGAGGAGGAGAAGGAGGAGGAGGAGGAGGAGGAGGAGGAGGAGGAGGAGGGAGGAGGAGGGGAGGAGGAGGAGGCCTCTTGGGAGCCTCTTGGGGCACTTTTTTAGTCTCCTGGGAGGTTGTGGGCTTACCTGGGTCTTTTAGGGGCCTTTGAATGCACCCTTCTTGGGAGGCTCCTTGGCCTTCTGAGGGCCTTCCTGGCTCGTCGTAAACCGTCCTGAGGGCCTTCTTGGGGCGCTTCGGAAAGGATCCTGGGCCGTCTTGGGGCCCTCTTGGAGTCATCTTGAGGGCCCATTGGGCAGTCAAGGGGGCATCTTGGAGGCCTCTTTGGCGCGCTCGGGGCCATATTGGCCAGTGTTGGCTACATTTTGGGCCATCTGCAGACTCTGCAGCCATCTTGGGCCGTCGGAAAGCCGAAACTGCGCAACCGCCAGAGCCCTTCAAACACACAAGGCACATCGATTAGTTTGCCCTCTTTGGGCCTTCTGGGATAGGGAATCCTTGGTAATGGATCCTTAGTCGGGAGTCTTTGGTAAGGAACCCAGGCTTCCGAAGGAACCTTAGGAGTACTTTGGTTTCCGATTGATTCCGAAGGATTCCGCAGGATTGCTAAGGATTCTTACGGATCCTGAGGATTCCCAAGGATTCCTAAGGATTCCTCAGGATCCATTTCGGGTTCCTGAGGATCCCTTTCTAGGATTCCTAAGGGTTCTCTTGTGTTCCTATGGATTCCTAAGGATTCCTCGGAGCGCTAGGGATTCTTTAAGATTCCCATGGGTCCATAAGGATTCCCAAGGATTCCTCATGATCCCGTAGCATGCCTAGGGATTCCTCAGGATTCCTCAGGATCCCTTTGGTATTATTCCGCATCCCTTAGGGACTTAGGAATTTCTGTGGGTTCCTACGGATTCCTACGGATTCCTAGGATTTCTAAGGATTCCTCGGGGTGCTTGGGATTCCTAAATATTCCTTTGGGATTCCTATGGGTACCTCGGGATTCCTGATAATTCCTTGGGGTTCCCTAGGTCCTAGGGATTCCGGAGGATTCCTACGGATCCCTACGGATTCCTAAGGCTTGCTAGGGATTCCTAACGATTCCTGAAGAGTCCTGAGGATTCCGAAGGATTCCGCAGGATTCCAAAGGTTTCCGAAGGAGTCCGAAGGATTCGTAAGGATTCCTAGGGCGTCCTTAGGATTCCCAGGGGGTCACAAGGATTCCCAGAGATCCCTGAGGATTCCCAGGGATTCCTGAGGGATTCCACAGCATTCCTAGGGATTCCCAAGGATTCCCAGGAATTCCCATAGATGGATTCCCAGGGGTTCCTACCGATTTCCGAGGATTCCTCTGGATTCCGATGGATTCCTTAGGATGTCGAGCAGGCTGCGCGCCTCGCCGGCGCGCACATGTGTCATCGGGAGCGCACGTCCATGGGGTCGTCGTGTCAGCAAGCTCCATAGAATTGGTAGGTTTTAAGGTAAGCTTGAGCTTGAGGAGCCAGTCGGGTTGCTGGTTGCGGGTTGCTGGGGGGGGGGGCGCTCCCGGGGCTCCAGGCGCAGTGTCGTCCTTCAAGGACAACCATTGGCAATAGTCCCCGTGGAAGGGGCTCTAGGTGCAGTGTCTTCCTTGTTGTTGTTGTTGTTGTTGTTGTTGTTGTTGTTGTTGTTGTTGAACTCTCATTTCTGAAGACTAATTATTGTTGATCCCCCCTCACCGGTGCATACGGTTTTTCCAATCAAAGTGTGCCCCTTGACGCTCGCACCCTGCTTTTTGACAGGGGAAGTCTTGGTGCTCAAACTGGGCCCCTGGCCCACCGGATTACAACAGCATCGGCTCAGGCTCAATTTACTCAGGATCGGTGCTCCCGCTTTAGACTTCCTCGCAATTGAATCAAGGCTTCCTCGCAATTTAATCAAGACCCCCGCTCCCGCCAGAGAGCCCTTCACATTTCATTCAGGAATTGCGTT